GAAATTTGGAACATGTAAAACATTATACAAAACTAATGCACATGTAATATGAATGACACCCATATGGGTAATGGGAACTTTAGTTCCATTAGGCAAAGTGACAGTGACATTATGAACTAGTGTATGCTCTGTGAACGTTGCTAAATCTGAATAAACATGAAAAGATGCCCACTATCTGTAATCCAAACATCACGTGGAAGGATATATTGTATAGTAAAAAAGACAATGATCACGAAAAGTAAGAGCTTTATGTTCATATTTGATAGTAGAAGGAAAAGGGAATGTACCAGTTGAAGAAGCAGAAGCTATAGCATCATATTCTGTGATTGTGGCCCTCAAAGAAGTAACGTGAGGCTCTTGACTCGAACTTGTGAATCTATACTATTATTTGCGAAGTAATTTTTCGCAACGGAGCTCCCACGTGTAAAATTAGAGTGGTTAATATCGTTTATACCCTTAATGAAAATAATATATAAATTACATACAAAATAAAAAGAATTTAAATTATTTTGATTGGATATGTAACTAAAATTAATAATAATCATAAGAATTATCCAAAATCTAAATAATATATTTTTAAATAAGATAATTTTGATATATATTGTGATGTTATCTGAAAATATATTTTGATAAAAAATTTAACAATTAAAACAATAGAAAATACATAAGTAAATATTAATCAAGTCAACTTCTTAATTTTATATAACTGAAAAAATAATATTTGATTTTAAAATTATTTTTAATAGTGAACATAATTTACAAAGAAATATATGTAAGAATTTTTGAATGAAAGTATAAATATTATTGGTTTCAAAAAATAATACACAAATAATACTTTATCATTATAATCTTTTAATTAGTAAAAGATGTATTAATAAAAAAATTAAAAAAATTTGGTCCGTAAGTGCGGATAAAACACCTAGTTATACTGAGAAATCAAATGCTAAATTTGCTGAGGTGTGAACTCTTTAACGGTCATATTAGTCATATTATCACGTGTCCAAAACACGAATCCACTGTGTTTCATAAAATTTTATGTTAAGTGGCTTTTTATTTGATATGGACCTTATATTTGTTCAATTCGGTGAGCCCATCAATGAGTTTCTCCAATTGTAACGCATCTTTCACCGACATTTTTTATTAGCTTTTGGTCTCCGCCGTTCAATGTCAAGACAGAACCAGAGTTTTTAGAGAGAGATGATTCAGCTTCTTGCTAAGAGCACCATCAATGCAAGATTTTAGAGGGTTGCTTAGGAGGGGGACACCACAAAAAGAGGAAAAAACAAGAAGCATCGCTGTCAAAATTGCTTGAATAAGCAGCAGAACTTGTTCTGTTTCGCGGTCCCCATGCCACGTGGCGGCCCGCGATTGGTGAACTTTTTAATTTTTTTTTTGAAACGAAAAAAGTAAAAAAAAAAAAGCACTCCATAAGCACTCGTAGCATTAATCATGTTCTAACGCTCTATACCAGTTACAGATTCCCCATCATAGTCATTCTTAAATCATCACTCATTATCTATTGATCTTCTTCATGCGAGGCGGTGGAACTTTCGATTATAAAAGGGAAGAAAATGGCTAACGATCTTCCTTTCCTATCTGAAGACTGGACAATGCTCCACCACTGTTCAAGTCTGGTTGCTCCGCTTCTAGGGGGGCCAGGAACGTCCAAAGCGGCGGCGAACTCATGGGAGTCGATATGTTGCTGCTTGAGTCCCAGGTTTGTTCTAGATTGTTTTTTTAATGGTACCGGCAACGTTCTAGCACCATCCCAAGAGACGTGTACTCTATTTATTATCCCCGTTTGGTGATTTTAATCTTAGAAGGTCTGTTTCAGATTGATTCATTCAGTATAAATATTTTTTTAGTTTGAGTAGTTTCTCTTCAAGTTAGTTAGTGCTTTCTGTTTACGGTTTAACGTCAAGTTATTTGATTTGTGCTGTAGAATCTCTAGACGAGGTTTATGATTCTGAATTGAGTTTTTCCAAAGGCATCTTCTTATATTTCGCACAAGGCATGCAAGTTTATGTTTTCATGAACATCTTACTTACTCAGCTTTGTATAAGATGTTTAAAACATGACCTGTAATATTGTTTTCGTTCAACCTCTGCTTTTTCCAGAGCTAAAACCTTATTTTGGCATTTTCAGATTTATAGGAACTTCGGCCCGGAACATGGAAGACCTTGACAGTACACCGAGGCTGATAGCTAGCTTCAATTTGTAGAGGGAACGTTGAGGTAAAAACATCTGCCTTCCATTGCACCAACTACACTCTGTGAGAATGTATTTTCCCCTGCAAAATTTTCCCTTCCTTTTGTCAACTAAGCCCTTAAGAAAAAAAAACACAATGGAATCCATTGGTTTGATTCACTTTCGTACATAATTTCCCTTTTCTCTGTGGATTTAAAGGCTCTTTTTTTGGTTTAGCGAAGAACTTGATCGTAGCTTTGTCTGCGAAAACATGTTCCCAGAGCTCTATTTATTGATCTCGAGCCCACTGTTATCAACGTAGTCCGTAGGGAAACTTACCATAAGCTTTTCCATCCTGAGCAGCTAACCTCTAGGAACAACTTGGCCGAAGAAAATTATACTGGCGCGAACACCATTTCATTATCTCTTCTTCTTACTGATTCTTCAAATGGTGATTAGAAGTTATGCTGTTGCAGTTTGAATGGAGAGTGTGAACCTTTGTCTTAGTGGTGTGAGAGAACTTCTCCATTTTCCTAAATTTTGCGACCTCAGTGTTGCGGTTGTGGTGCGTTGAAATTTTGAACTAAAGATCTCCTTCAAATGTCTCCAATTTTTCTTTCATATCTTGAATCACCATTGCTGTTTTTGCAGGTCAACTTAACGAATCTGGAACATATTAATGAGAATCATAGGCACGAAGGAACATAAGGAATTGGTAATGAGGAGCACGAAAAAAGGAGCAAAATGCGGTGGGGATGGAATCAGAGCAGATACACGTGTCACACATGATGCGTAACATAATATGTGATCTTTTTTTTTTTTGAACACAATATGTGATCTGTTCGGATGATTTCTACGTAAATGTCGTTAGGATTCTGGTGGGATGGAAGCGAGTGTTAGTAAAAGAGAAAATTTTAGGGCTTAAATATTTGGTATCATGCAGTTTTTTATATTCTTACATTTTCGGATTAACGGGAAAATCTTTTTCAACTCTTAGCTTTTATCTATCATATTAGTTAGTGACAAACACTCGAGTTGCTATTTCTTTGTGGTAATTATTTTCTACCGTCTAGATCATTCCCTAACCTTAGTTTGGTCTTTCATATTTTTTATCTGTATTCTTATAACTTAAGAGAAAGGTTGGTAATATAATTTTTTTAACTTTGAGATCAGTATATACTTTTACATTTCTTATTTAGTGTTCTAAATTTTATAGATCCTCTCATAAACAGAAAAGGATGTGTACATAAACTAAACAATAATTAGAATAATCTGCAAAACCTTAATCCAAAATGACCATTGAGATTCTTGAACTGCATCAGTACTCGTCAAAAGTTTGCTGAAGGAGGAATGAAGCAGACCAATTGTTTCTGCCTTCTCTAAAATTTCTTGCTTGGATTTATAAAAAAATTAAAAGAAATAATTTTATTCAATAATAAACTATCTAACATCACACAACTGTTTCTAGGAAGAAACGTCTTCATCATCTATATTTACATGTATGTAATTTAACTATGTATATATATTAATAAATATAAATATCTAATAAATGAAAGAAATAACTATATTCAACATTAAACTATAATAAATATAGTCCATATATAATCATTTAGTTATGTAGAATAAAATTATTGTAAGGATTATATTTTATAAGTTAGTCAGTAATATATATATATATATCAAAATTTAATCAATAATGTTGATATATAACAATACCTATAAGATTCTTACAAACATCTATATATAAAAAGCTAAATATTTTTATTTTATCTATCTTAAATAGTTTAGTTATAATGAATAAGTTATTTCTTTTATATCATATGTATCATTAGTTTTAAGAAAAAATGTGAAAGAATAATTTAATTCATGAAACAAATATTTAACTGCTGAAACATAACTTCACTATACTTAATTCAGTCGACTGTAATTTTAGGAAAATTAATGAGACTTATTGTTATAGTTAAACTAAAATAACAATTGAAGAAAAATCATTATAATTTTAAATGCAGAGTAAAATAAATAGTTAAATTGCTGTCAAAAATTATGTTAATACTATTTTTAGTTAAAATAAATCAAACATTTAAAATAAATTTATATTAAAGTATTTGCACTCTACACATAAACTTTATATCATAATTCATTCCATACCCTATTTCTTCCTTTATCTCTCCTCCCCACACATCACTACTTTCCCCACAAAATATGGCAAATCCCTAATTTCTCATTTTGTTAAGGATTTCTACCTAATTCACTCTTTATATTAATAGTTTATTTATTTGTTCGCCCGTAGAAAGGATTTACCCTATTAAGATATATAAAACTTTTCTGGTAATACCATGTCATCAAATAAGTGAACCTAAACTTGACACATGTCCAACTCTAGCAATAAGTTGTTTTGTTTATTCCTCCATTAGCAGTTGAATTTTATGTCTGTTATTTTGATTGACTTCCCTATTAATGATCTTGTAAATTTTGGTTTTAGCTAAGGTTTTTTGTTTCTTACATGATGTTCGAGTCACAAAGATCTAGAATGAGGCTGTTTAAGAATCTTTGAATCTGTTTATAGACATCAGATATCAAACCTGTTTCTTTGTTTCAAGGGGGTGTGTTTTTTAGCATCCACTTTTAGTTTCTCAAGTGCATAGTTTGTTTGTTTGAAGATGCAACAGTTACGGATCAATGCCATTTATCGGGTTAATAACTCATTCGTCCACGATTTGGACATCAATGTAATGTATTCAACCGATTTTTATATGTAAACCAATACCCAATAAAAACGTTTTATTCATGAAAATATAGAAGTTGGTCGCCTGTTACCACAGAGTAGAGTCCACATGAGGTAATTTGTCGCTAAGAAAACGAGCAATGACCCTGTTTTCAAGAACTTCTAAGGCCTCGGGAGATTTTATGCACCTAGGTGTCTTGTATTGAGCTAGAGAAGCACCTTGAGCAATGAAATATTCCATAAGAGAGTCAAACGTTCCTTTTTGAACCACTCTTATCTCTAAAGCTCCAATAGATCCATCCTTGCTCCGAAATCTTTTGTAAAGAGCATCAAGTGATTCCTCTATTACCGAGCAACATTCGACCAACACATTGGTATTAATTAGCTCACTGATGTCATCGTTGTTGTGGCCTTTGATTTCCCAATAAAGAACATAGTGACCTGGAAGTTCAGAGATATGAGGATAGCATGTAAAATCTCTCAGCATATGTCTGAAGATTTAAGTAGTTGTGTTGCATTAGTCACTGCATTTAAAAGATCTTCTTCTGGTGTGGCCTCCAAATAAACACTTAAGACCACATTTTGTCTACGTACAAATTTAAACTGTGGTGCACTATTGTAAAATCCAGTCACCTGTAGAACATCACCCACCCTATAACGGTGTAAACCTAATAAGAAAGAACACGGCAACATCAATTTAATTTGGTTATTTGATAACATACACGCCTGAATAGACTATTTGTAATAACTCACCTGAATAATTGGTGACTACGAGTTCGTAGTAGCAACCTAACTTTACGTTCACTAGATCAACAATGGTGTCGTTTCCTTCACCAATTAGTATAAACTCGAAGTATGACATATTCGGCAGAAATGTGTAGGAGACATCTTGTGGTTTGCATAGAGGATTCAAATTTACCCCAAACATGGCCTCAGAAGACACATAATTTCTAGAAATGAGAAGTAGATCATTGACATAGAACTCCAGTAATGGAATATGTTGAGCCATCTGTCCTGTAAAAATGCATTCGATAAATTTGGTTCTGGGCCAAAGTTGTGGAACGATACCTTTCCATGATTTCTGGTTGCATATGTCTTCTATTATATCTGCAAGTTTAGGATTAGGTCCTCCAAGTATCATGGAAACAGAGTCCTTTCAGCTATCAGTATCCAATCACTAAGCTGACCTGATCGTATGTTACTGCACATTTCTATCCAAAAGTTTTCAAGAAAAGTGATTCCTTGAACCAAGGTAGAAGCAAAGCTAGAACTTACTCTTGTAACTTCATCTATCATGACAAGGCCACAAACAAAATGACAATATTGACTCTGCTTAGTGTCAGGACAAAATTTGATTTCACTTGCACTTGTGCTCGAAGTGTCCCAGTATGATGGTAAGTTCTTAAAAAAATAGTCACTTTCCATGAGATGTGTAGTAGCATATGAAGCTGGCAAACCAGATGGAGTTTTGGAGCCTGGTTTAAGAAAAATGAGATGCAACCCTTTCCCTTCGTTATGACCCTCGACATGCCTACAAGCCAAAATAAATATCTTTTATCATGCTATTGTAGATGACTTTGAGGTTAGTCCAGGTGATCAATAATAGATGTATTGTAAACCTATATTATTTATCTTAATAAGGTTGTATATGTTAGATATTTATGTTAATTTTCAATAATTATATATTTTCAATCATTGGCTTTTAAAGCTTTCAAGATTAGCATTAATCAACACATAAGTGCATGGATTGCTTCACCTTTTAAACGTTTGTACCAGTACAATCACTCTCACTTGATAAATGAAATTCACATCCTTATAAAAAAAAACACATAAGTGCATGGAAAATCTAAAAAAAAAACTAAGTTTTGTAGAATCAGATGAAAAAACTATCTCAACATGTTTACCAAAAAAATTAAAAAAAGATGAAACACTAGTATCACTTTTAACGAATTGAGAGAGTAACATTTTCTTACTTGGATAATACGAGGTAGCGAAGATCAAATAGAAATCTAGCAGTCTCTAAGTACTTGTCGTTCAAAGGTATTAATTTCTGTTTTCCTCTTGAAGTTCCAGACCTCCACACATGTGCAACTGTTTTTGAGCAAAACCCACTTTTTCCCCTAAAAAACACTTCAAATTCATATATTATAGATCATCTAGAGAATTATTAGCAAAAAACTTAGCGTACGTAAGTGCAAATCCAGTAATAGGCCTGCCCGAAATGATCTTTGAGGATTCGCCGTTCGCGATACGCTCGATGTATGGCTTAAAATCTTCATAGGTCCCTATAGGAACTTTCTTTTTAAAAAGCTCTTTATCCGAACTCCCATGCAGAAAACTCCGAAGGTACTCTGTGTTTGCATCACTTGTAAGTATCTCTTTCAGTGCCTCATCTTGTATTTGCTTCACGTTGGACGTTAAATTCTCGAGAAACGCCAAGCCAGCTTCTACTTCTTCCATGAGGTTATTCATGTTTCACTTTACTCAAATCGGTTTGTAATCATCAAGACTTATTTCTTGTGTTCTTTATAGCTAATAAAAAATAGGGTGGGCGTTAATTTTAAAACAAAAACAATGGTGTAGCGAGGAATGCGTGTAGGGGTCAACTAGGCCTCGGCATATTATCAATAATCCGAAACCGAACCCAAATCCGAACCGAAAAACCCGAATCCGACCGGTTATGGATCTTTTAAAATACCCGATCGGGTTTGATATGCTGATATTTTGGTTATCGGGTTCGGATTCGGTTTAATCCGATATCCGAACTAAAACCCGAAATAACCGATTATATGTATAATGTACAGTAAGTATATACACATATTAATCATTATTTGATTTTGACAATTTCCAAGAAGGCACAATCACACTTTGTTACTTTCAATTTTAAGACACAACTAAGTCTAGACACAACCACACCTTTCATAATAACCTTAGGGGCGATTCCTCTTCTTCTAGTTTCAAAAACCTAATCTCCAATTAAAATAAGGTATTTGATGGAAGAGTATGTTCAGAAACACAAACAGGCAATTATCTCTATCTTCTCCACCATCTTTGATTTCAAGAACTCAATCCGAGGTAAGGACTTGATTTTCAGAAATCAATCTGAGTCTTCTGTGTCATATGAATCATAGTGATCTGTTTGCGGTTTTGTCTTAGTTTGTTTTCCATTTTAAAACTTTATGTTGCTATTATCGATATTAGTGTGCTGTTGCAAACATTTTTACTAAGTTTGAGTTTATTAATTTTCAGAGACATGTTTCTTAGTTCTTATCTAGTCAACTTATGAGTGTTTGTTTATTTGTTTTCTTTGAATTTTACTTTAGTTAATCCGAAACTGATACAATAAAACCCAAACCCAAATGATATACGGTAACTTCAGTATAATCCGAACCCGAACCGAAACCGATGTGTTATATCCGATCTCGATCTGAATTTAAGAATTTCTTAAAATGGGACCTAAGAGGTGTTACAAAAAAGAACCGATATCCGATATACCTGATCCGAACCCGAACGCCCAGGCCTAGGGTCAACAATCAATATTTAATTCAAAATTATTTTTCACAACTACCATCTACTTTTTTTTGTCCAACTACTACCATCTATCTCATTAATTAACTTAGAAAGTTAGAAATGAATATATTACCAAAATTGTCACAAAAAAATCATGAAAATGTTAAAAAATTATTAACTGTATTTTATACAAAACATATAAGTAATAATATAAACTATAATAAGTTTCATGTTATAAACCATATTGTGGATTACCCATAACCAGTCCATAACCAGCTCGTCTAGAGTAGACCTAGGTGGCTGGTCTTTCATTTTTCTCTAAGGCGGCTAGTTTCCATTTTCCCTATAGAATTATGTTTTGTACTTTTTCATTTTCCTTATTTGTTAGGATCTTTGTAACTCCCTATATAGGATTGGGCAAATAAACCAAACCCGAAAACCCGAACCGAACCCGATCTGATAAAAATGAATCCGAACCGATCTGAACCTGACTTAAGTACCGAATGGATCTTGTTTTATGGTATTTCGGGTTATGGATATTATCCAAACCAAACCCAAAATTAAATGGATATCCGATAGAACCCGAAACATTCAATTTTTTTAATAAGAACGTGTACCGAATGTGATCTTAATTCCTAATATATATCCAAAATACTTTAAGATATTACTAAACATCTAAAATAATTATCTTTTACATGAAGGTTGATGGTTGAAAGTGGTGGTTTGAACTTGAAAATTTTAGATTAAGGTTTTGTTTTTATTGAATAATGTTTCTCGTTTTTTAAGAATTTGGTTTTCGTTTATGTTTTCATTTATTTGGTTTTCTTTCTATTAATAACTATGTTTACCTTTCGTTTGATTTTGAATGATCACATTTGATGTTGCTTTCTTATTTTTAAATTAATTTTACTTATGTTTTGGTTACAAAATAGTTACACATCAGGTATTTTAAATCTGAAGAGTTGATTTTAATTATGTTTTAGTTACAAAGTAGGTACAAATCAGGTATTTTTAAACCAAAGTACCGATTGGGACCCGAATCCGAAAGAATAACAGGTTACACTGGTTCTTTAAAGATTTACTAACCCCGACCCGAACCGGAACCGAACTTTCAAATAATCCGAATTGGGCTAATTTTGATAAACCCAAAAAACCGAAAAATCGATCGGACAAAACTGAAACCCAATTGGGATCCCGAATGCCCAGGCCTATCCTTATATATAAAGGGAACCTTATGTTTATGAATAGTACAGAACAGCCGATTCCTCTTTTTCTCTCGATTCACAACACGCTATCAGTACGAAACCATAGCCGCTGAACAAAAACCCAAACTACCTAAAAGAAAAAAAAAATCGATTTTGTTCTTTCACGATATTTCGTATCCAATCAAAACTAGCATCGTGACTACGAAGGTTTGATATTTGCGAGATTGAGCAAACGACGTCTCCATAATCCCATCTCCAATCATGGAGCCAACACCATTAAGAAATATCATTATATGAAGAAAAAAAACCTAATCGATGTTGATGTACCAACTTGATCCGTTTCAAAAACGGATTTCCACCGAGGATTATTTATTCTATAATAAGAAGAAACAAAAAAAAGAGAGGGAAGATGTCGAATGAAATCATAAGCAGTCGAGAAACATGGACATCGCTGTTGCACTTCTCCATGTAAGATAACTATTTTTATGCTTTATATATAAGTTTAATTAAAATTTGATTAGATAATAAAAGTTGGTATGAAGGTAATATTTTATTACCTTTATATATATGAGAATTTTAAGTTTAATATTTGACCAAAGAAAAATATAATCACCGGAATGTGATTACATAAAGTTTATTATATTTTACAACTAAAGATTACAAGAACTAAAGTCTGTAACAATATTTCAACTATGTTGGAAGTTAAATTTAAAAGTAGAAATTTCTCGTAGAAATTTTTAAAAATGCATATATATTGGCAAATATATTTTTGACACAAGTAATGTTGTTCATCAGACATATATTATGAAAAAAAATTAAAGAAGTTTATATTTGTATTTTGTCTCCTTGAGACTCAGAAAAATAATGAGCTATTGATGGTCAAGATCTAAAGAGTTTCGTTTTAGAATTCAACTCTCTCATTTGAAGTTGAGAAAATAAAGATGGTAATAAAAAACAATAATATGATTAAACCATCTAAAGATGAAAGAAAATTATTGTGAGTACAATGTCTTGTAATATCAAGATTATTGGAAGCTCTAAAAGAGCAGATACATGTATGTTTATGGGAGCGAAACTTATGCTTTCTCAAGTCTCAAAGATCAAAAAGATCTAAAATATAACACATGACCTTAAGTTGGATATGTTGTTGATTTTTAGTTGAGATTCTATTCGAGACTGACAAAAATGTAGTGGTGTCATCTCGAAAGGGAGAATTAGAGAATCTCATATCCTAGTATGTGGAATATCCAAAAGTATATTCACACTGGAAATAGATTTGAGAAATCATTTGTAAAATAAAACCAGAGGATTTGAAATTTTATAATGTTGAGACAATAAGTAAAAGGAAATGGTGAATACCTTCAATTAAAAGTATTTCCCAAGACATTCTTGTATTGTACTACACAGTGATTAGAAAATGGAGATAAATGTAATAGTAAACCTGAAACTTACTGAAAGTATAAGGTTTGGCAAACCGGTTATGCAATTCCAGTTTAGTAATGATGCGAAAGATAATCATATGGCCATTCGTTGAAGAACCAGAAGATTCTTACGAATGATCTACTATATGCTGCTTACTTATAAGGAAATATAAGAATACAGTTTACACCAATCAATAGATTTGGAATCTATTTGTACAAGGAGCTGTTTGTGGGCTTCATCACCCACAATGGACTGGTCATTCACTATATTTTTATAATTAATGAAACGACAAGAATGTCGTATGTATCCTGATATTACGTGCAAACGCACACCAATTAACCTAATGTGCACACTACCACAATCGAATGGTATGTCGATGTAACACTTAAGGATCGAATCCACAGAGACCAAATATTACACTTTATTTTTATAAGATCAAATTCAAGCTAAAACGATAAGTTTTGTAAAGAAGAAAATAATGAGAAACAAATAATTAAAATGGTTTTAATTTCAGGATATAAGGATGTCAACCTAGGGTATCTTATTGGGTGTTAATCATGATGAACCAAACAATTAATCAAGCTTTTTAAGAACAGCCTAGAACTTAGGTTTCTAACTAGATTACCCTGCTCTCGCAGCAGCGCTCCTTTCGCGGAAGAGCAATGAATTACTACGCTCTCGCGTGTATCACGACTTAACAGCAAACAGTAAGAACAGACCTAAAATGCTCACATCACACCCTGATATCTACTTTCGCTGATCAGGGATGTGATGCTTGCTCTCAACAGATCTAGCAATCTAATTCAGGATTAATGATAAAAG